TCTCCCTCTCTCATCTCTCTCTCTCTCTCTCTCTGTCTCTCTCCCTCTCTCCCTCTCTTTTCCCATCTCTCTCACTCTGTCTCATCTCTTCTCACTCTCTCTCTCACACACACATCTCTCTCTCTCTTTCTCTCTTCCCCATCTCTCTCTGTCTCTCTCATCTCCTGTCTCTCCCCATCTCTCTCTCCCTCTCCCTCTCCATCCCCATCTCTCTTTCTCCCTCTCCCTTCCTGTCTCTCTCCCTCCCTCTCCCATCTCTTCTCTCCCTCTCTCTCCCCATCTCTCTCTCTCTGTCTCTCCCATCTCTCTCTCTGTCTCTCCCATCTCTCTCTCTCCCTCTCCCATCTCTCATCTCTCTCTTTTCTCTCACCATCTTTTCTCTCTCTCTGATTTCTTTCCTCCATCTCTTCTCTCTCATCTCTTTTCGCTCCTTTTTTCCATTTTTTATATTTTTCTCTTTGTTCTTTCTTGTGTTCTCTTTTGCTTTTTTATTAATTCTTTCTCTCATCTCTCTCCCTCTTCCACTCTTTTTCTCACCTTTCTTTCTGTCATCTTTGTCTTTTTCCATCATTTTGATCTCTTGCTCTCATCTTTCTCATCTCTCTCTCCCTCTCCTTTTTCCTCTCTCCATCTCTTTCTTTTACTCTCTCTCTCTCTCTCTCTCTCTCTCTCTCTCTCTCTCTCTCTCTGCAGGCCTTTAAACACTGAAACCTGATCCTTCTGTCTATATGAGTGAAATGATAAATGATCAGAGCTCAGAGCGCAGACTGACCCGTCAGCGTTCACAGCCTGGACGCTGAGCAGCAGTCATTAATAATTAACTAATAACTAATAATTAACTAATAAGCATGCAGCCCTGCCATTCAGCACAGAAATACGGGGCTAGGGGAAGAAAAAGTAGACCAGTAGTAAAAAGGTGGAAAAACATTTTAAAGTGTGGTTTCATCTGAAATTGTGCAGAAACTTGCTACAGTGGTGGTGATAGGAACCAGACGTCGCCATGACTGCGGCACAAATATAGGGTTTTTATTTACTATCCAAAACCACCAGGGAACCTACACGAGTCTTCTGAGTGTTAATATGGATGTTGATGATGGTAAAATCTGATAATCATGTTTTGGGGACTATTTTTTCATCACAACAGCCTGCATGTACCCCTCCACCATGTATGGATTTTACAAATGCTTTTTAGGCCAAAAAATGAGGAAACAGTGTCTCAGTCATCAGGCAGCGAATCATAACTATTTCATGTAATAACTTTCTGTGAAGGAGCTTTTAGAGATGGACGTCTTGTTCCATCTCAATCCTGACTAGAACGGAGAATTTCACACCAAACCACTCTGGATGACTTTGTTTACATCTGAACCATTTAATTATGCAGACATTTAAAATGGGTGATGCATTAATTACTCACGCAAACTGTACTGTCCCACTCTCAGAGCTTCAGGAAGAATGACCTGCATTATTTTTTCCGGGCTCAGCACTTTTATATATCAGTGCATACACCGACCAGCCAGAGTGTTAAAACCACCTCCTTGTTTCTGCACTGACTGTCCATTTTATCAGCTCCACTGACCATATAGGAGCACTTTGTAGTTCTACAATTACAGACTGTAGTCCATCTGTTTCTCTGCATACTTTGTTACCCTGTTCTTCAGTGGTCAGGACCCCCACAGGACCACAACAGAGCAGGTACTATTTGGGTGGTGAATCATTCTCAGCACTGCAGTGACACTGACATGGTGGTGGTGTCTTAGTGTGTGTTGTGCTGGTGCAAGTGGATCAGACACAGCAGTGCTGCTGGAGTTTTTAAACACCTCAGTATCGCTGCTGGACTGAGAACCAAAAATATCCAGCCAACAGCGTCCTGTGACCACTGATGAAGGACTAGAGGATGACCAACACAAACTGATGAGCTGCTGTCTCTGACTTTACATCTACAAGGTGGACCAACAAGGCAGGAGTGTCTGATAGAGTGGACACTGCTGTATCTGATCCACTCGCACCAGCACCCAAATAATACCTGCTCTGTGGTGGTCCTGTGGGGGTCCTGACCACTGAAGAACAGGGTAACAAAGTATCAGAGAAACAGATGGACTACAGTCTGTAATTGTAGAACTACAAAGTGCACCTATACAGTAAGTGGAGCTGATAAAATGGACAGTGAGTGTAGAAACAAGAAGGTGGTCATAATGTTGTGGTTGGTGTGTGATTTTAATTGTAGTAAATATTTATAAATGCAGGGTTTATGGTAAGTTGTATTAAGAAGCTGCTTTGTAATGTATATGCATTAACCCATTAACTCATTGATGCAGGGAAGCAATAAACCAGTACTGAACTAATGCAGCCCTGCACAGCTGTAGAGCTGTAATGCAGCGAGTCACCAGCAGGCGGAGCTGTATCCTCGTGCTGCGCTCTCGGTCCAAAGTCCTCAGTGATGTGAGCGGTTTGTTCTTGATTGAATCATTTTTATAGTGCAAACAGCGCGTGTTTGGTTTGCAGCTGGTTGGCGTTTGCTTTAGACGTTTTTATGCTTCATTAACATCTTTTCATTTGCTGGTGAAAGGCTCCCACGTGCACTAGTGCAAAACTCTTCATTCTGATCACTTTTTCTCCACACACAAACACACAAACACACAACAGCTGCACCAGTTTAGTAGCTCTGCACTGGGTGTGGAGGTGGATAACAGTCAGGTGCACTATTAAAAGTGAGGTTCTCCAAGGGTTCTTTAGTGAAGACAATGGTTCTATTTAGAACCACAATTTCTGTCTAGAACCATAACCTTCCCTAAATGCTTCTATGCATGGTGAAATGGTTCTTTAGACTGGTGGAGAACGGGTTTGTTGAAAATGGTTCTAAATAGCATCAAAAAGATATGGAGCATACAAGCTTGACATCGTAACATTAGCAGAAGCACCTTTTGGTGCTGTATAGAACCATATACAAGATGTTCACTCCATCAATGTGAAGAACCATTTCAACGTTGCAAAGAACCATTTAGGCATGCAAATTGTTCTATATATAACTAATGGTTCTCAAGCCAACCATTCCTTTTACTGAAGGACCCTTGAAGAACCATCTTTTTTGAGAGTGTCCACTCAAAAATAAAAGGTTCCTAATAGCGTAGTTTGCACATGTGGTTCTAAAAACTGTAGTTAGAATAGAACCTTCAAAGTATGTGCAGGTTCTTCACACATACATCTCATTAACTAGAACTGTTCTTCTAAGGAGCTGAAAGGTTCTTTCTGAGTATAGAAGGTCAGAGAAGTAGTATAAAGGGAGTGAGGAGGAGTGTAGGAGGAGGAAAGGGAATGAAGAGGAGTGTAGGAGGAGTAGAGAGAGTGGAGAGAAGGAATGGTAGTAAAGGGGAGTATAGGAAGGAGGAGAGGGAATGAGGAGGAGGAAAAAGTTAATGAGTTGAGGAGGAGTAGAAGGAGTGCGAAAAAGGAATTGAAGATGAGTGGAGGAGGAGTAGAGGGAGTGAGGAGGAGGAAAGGGAGTAAAGATGAGTATAGGAGGAGTAGAGGGGAGAGGAGGAGGAAAGGGAGGTAAGATAATTATAGGACGAGTAGAGGAAGTGAAGAGGGAAATAGGGAGTGAAGATGAGTCGAGCAAATGAGGAGGAAAGGGAGTTAATAAGTAGTGGATGAGTAGAGTGGGTAAGGAGGAGAAGAGGGAGTAGAGGGAGGGAGGAGAAGGAATGGGAGTTAAGATGAGTAGAGGAGGAGTAGGAGGAGTGAGAAAGGGGAAAGCAAGTAAAGTTTATTTATATAGCGCTAAAAAGGGTGTTGTCACAAAGCAGCTTTACAAAACAAAACAAAATCAGCATTACAGAAAGAAATCCGGGTCCAAAACCCCATGAGCAAGCCAGGGGCGGAAAGGGAGTGAAGATGAGTATAGGAGGAGTAGAAGGAGTGAGGAAGAGGAAAGGAAGTGAAGATGAGTATAGGAGGAGTAGAAGGAGTGAGGAAGAGGAAAGGGAGTGAAGATGAGTATAGGAGGAGTAGAAGGAGTGAGGAAGAGGAAAGGGAGTGAAGATGAGTATAGGACGAGTAGAAGGAGTGAGGAGGAGGAAAGGGAGTGAAGATGAGTATAGGACGAGTAGAAGGAGTGAGGAAGAGGAAAGGGAGTGAAGATGAGTATAGGACGAGTAGAAGGAGTGAGGAGGAGGAAAGGGAGTGAAGATGAGTATAGGAGGAGTAGAAGGAGTGAGGAAGAGGAAAGGGAGTGAAGATGAGTATAGGAGGAGTAGAAGGAGTGAGGAGGAGGAAAGGGAGTGAAGATGAGTATAGGAGGAGTAGAAGGAGTGAGGAAGAGGAAAGGGAGTGAAGATGAGTATAGGACGAGTAGAAGGAGTGAGGAGGAGGAAAGGGAGTGAAGATGAGTATAGGAGGAGTAGAAGGAGTGAGGAGGAGGAAAGGGAGTGAAGATGACGATAGGAGGAGTATAGGGAGTGAGTGAGGAGGAGAAAAGCGAGTGAAGATGAGTATAGGAGGAGTAGAGGGGGTGAGGAGGAGGAAAGGGAGTGAAGATGAGTAGAGGAGGAGGAAAGGGAGTGAAGATGAGTAGAGGAGGAGTAGAGGGGATGAGGAGGAGGAAAGGGAGTGAAGAGGAGTAGAGGGAGTGAGGAGTAGTACAAAGAACAAGGAGGAACATAGGGAGAGTGAGGAGGAGTGGGCAAAACAATAGAGGAACAGTAAAGGGAGCGAGCGGGAGGAGAGTTGAGGAGGAGGGAAAGAGGAGAGGGTGAGCAGCTGGAGGGAGCGAGGAGAAAAGGGAGGGAGAGATAAAGGTGAGCAGAGAGAGGATGAGTATGAGGAGTGAGAAGAAGAAGAGGGAATGAGAAAGAAGAGAAACAGGAGCAGGAGAAGAGGAGGAGGAGAGAGAGGGAGTGAAGAGGAGGAGAGTTGATGATGATGATGATGATGATGAAAATCAGCTCTTGTACTGCTTCTCTTTGGTTCCCACGCGCTGTTCAGAAAGAGGGAGTGGCAGACACGCAGCGAGAAGGGGAAGTACATTACGCGCGCGCACACACATACCAGTTACACACGCTATCTCTCTCTCTCTCACACACACAGGCGCGCGCGCGCACACAGCAGGCTAATGTGATTAGACAGACCCAGACACGGCGCGAGCGGCTCTGAGGCGACTGACCGTAAAGCGCGAGCTGCGGACGGCGACCGGATTCATTTAGCGCTCGTCTGAATGTTTACTTGTTTTCCTTTGTTTGTTTATTTGTTTCTTTGGACTCGACTGACGTCCTGCGCAGCGTGGAGCATTTCAGACAGGTGAGTTTATTCTTCATTCACTTTTACTGCCTTTTGCTCAGGAGAACATGTTTGAATGTAGTTTTAAAAGCCTCCAATAATGTGAAAAGCAAATTCAGCTGGATTGTTTGTTCTAATAATAATAATAATAATAATAATTAATTATTATTATTATTATTTTTGTTTGTAAATTTTAGAGATTATTTATTACTATTGTTATTTACTTTTAGGGCAAAGAAATGACTGAAAAGCATTATGAGTTCTGCCCAACACCCCCCTCCTTCCTTCATAGCACGGAAAGCTGATTTTCCAGCATGAACTGACCACCATAAGGTTGTTTTGTTATTTTCTTCTGGACACAAGCTGGTCAAAGTGTCTGACTCAAACCTGGATGAGCTGATGTGAGAAAACGGTTCTGGGCTCTCAGCTATGGGGTGTGTCAACATGACCAACGCAACGGAGGGCGGTGGGGCATCACCCTCAATGCAGGCGACACTGGTTGTGCTCGTGGTCCTCCTCATCCTCCTGACCGTGTCCGGCAATGTGCTGGTGGTGATCGCTGTGTTCACCAGCAGGGCCCTGAAGGCTCCCCAGAACCTGTTCCTGGTGTCCCTGGCGTCAGCTGACATCCTGGTGGCCACGCTGGTCATACCATTCTCCCTAGCCAATGAGTTGATGGGCTACTGGTACTTCGGGCCGGTGTGGTGCGAGATCTACCTGGCGCTGGACGTGCTCTTCTGTACTGCCTCCATTGCCCACCTGTGCGCCATCAGCCTGGACCGCTACTGGTCAATCACACGGGCCGTAGAGTACAACCTGAAGCGCACACCACGGCGCATCAAGTGCGTCATCCTGGTCGTGTGGGTCATTGCTGCCGTCATCTCTTTCCCCCCCCTCATCACCATGGAGAAGGAGGGTGAGCACAAGGAGCGCCCCCTCTGTAAGATCAACGAGGACAAGTGGTACATCATCTCGTCCAGCATCGGCTCCTTCTTCCTGCCCTGCATCATCATGGTGCTCGTTTACATCCGCATCTACCAGATTGCCAAGAGCAGGACCAGGGCTCCGCCTGGTGACCGCAGGAGGAGGGATGACGACAAGAAAGAGAACGGCCACTGCCATGAGAGGCTCAACGGCGACGCCGCTGAAGGCAACGGCAAGGACGACAGAGGTGACGTGAATGCCGTCGACGTGGAGGAGTCGTCCTCGTCCGACCACAAAGTGACCAACCCCTGTTCCAGCAAGAAGAAGCGAGCCAAAGGGAAGACCAAGCTGAGCCAGATCAAGCCTGGAGACGATGCAAACAAGAGGGACACCGTGAGCCGGGGTGCCAAGAGCAGCCGCTGGAAGGGCCGGCAGAACCGTGAGAAGCGCTTCACCTTTGTGCTTGCTGTGGTCATTGGTGTTTTCATGATCTGCTGGTTCCCTTTCTTCTTCACATATACGCTGATCGCACTCTGCTCCTCCTGCTGTGTGCCCACAACGCTCTTCAAGTTCTTCTTCTGGTTTGGTTACTGCAACAGCTCGCTGAACCCCATCATTTACACCATCTTCAACAATGACTTTCGGAGGGCCTTCAAGAAGATCCTCTGCCGAGGGGACAGTAGGAGGGTTGCTTGATTCGGATTCTGCTGGGCAAGGTTTGCCTCTTTTGCAGTGATGATGGATCAGCTCCCTTTTTCGAAACCCCAGTTTAACTCCAAACAAAAAACTGATGCTGAATCAGTGTCAAAAGAGCAACTATACGTAAGGCAAAACGGAGCTTAATCAAGCCTGGTGATGATGTGAGCAAGCGGGACAACATGATCCAGGATGCCAAGGGCAGCCGCTGGAAGGGCCGTCACCCTGGCTTGGTTTCTCCCGACATCTTTGTTGTCATCGTGGCCTGCTGGTTCCCCTTCTTTTTCAAATACAACCTGATGGCACTCTGCAGCTCCCCCTGCTTTTCAGGTTCTTCCTGCTACCACCACAGCTCGCTCAATTCCATTATTTACATCATCTTCAACATCTTCCGGAGGACCTTCCAGAAGATTCTCAGGCAAAATGGGCGGTAGGAGGGTCATGTGACGTGTACACTGCTGTGCAAGGGGATTCACCTCCCATCCAAATTTCACATGCCTGTTACAGCTGATCAAGGACTTCTTTATTATAATATTATCAGATACTAGATTGGAGAGGGTTGCAGAAAGGTCTCCAGGAACAGGGATCAGTGACCACTGCTTTACAGTCCCCAACCTTATCTGCTGTAAGCCAAACTGATAAACTGGTCTCGGATCAGTGTCAAAGCAGCAGACTCCCACTGAACTACATTTTTTTTACAGCCTGTTTAGAACACATTGGACTGATAAGTGGACTGAGGTTTACTGATACTGTGTTAATGTGATATATTGCCGGGTCAACCCGGCCGAAAGGGATGTGTGTACAGTAAACAGTAATATGTGGCGTATGTTGAAACATCGGCCTTCAATTTGGCACCGGCTTTTATAATGTTCATCATTCAAGGAAGCAACAGAGCGATAAGAAGCAGAGCTCCGGTCTGCAAATATCACAAATCACACGGTGGGAACATACAAGCCGGACATTGTCGTAAGAGAGTGTTGTGTGTTTCGTATATGTTGACGCGGCCTTTGTACCTTTCACTGCATTGTCTTTAAATATGGGTGGTCGTTTGTCATGGCTGGCTAAAGTGTGTTTTTTGATAGTATTTATCATCGTGTCAAGGGCAGTGGTGAGAACATAAGATGTTAAAAATAAATACCCTCGCTACCTGATGGCCGCTTCTTTGATACATGACTCATTCGCACATCACAGACTGCTTATTGGAAAATACAAAGAATAATCTTGTGATGTGGAAAGGAACTAGGACTGCTTTCTGTGCTTTTGCCCCTAATTGAGTGATTCGACTCCTGCTAACATACCAGTCTGTCTCTCTCTAGCCTGTTTGCTCCAGACCGGACCTCTGACAGAGCTTTATATGGTCACAGGTCTTGAAACATTTCTATTACGTTGTATAATCAGTTATGAAAGGGTTGATGTTACTAACCACTCGAATGATCTGTTATTCTCTCCCTTCCCCGGTAGCGGTTCACTTAGGATTCTCTGTAGCTCGATATGCGCCATTAGGCAAATTGATGTCGGGCTGGTCAGACTTGAACCAGGTTGACTGGTCTCACAGCAACAAGGTCCACCACCTTCAGCCACTCCAGCGGGTCTTGGATTTCAAGAAAACCTGACCGCCGCTGTTTATCAATCCCTGACCTGAATAAGCCATGTTCTGCTCGATTTAACAGCTCCCCAGCTGCAATACACCTGGTTCAGCTTTATTATTGTGCCGTCCGAAAGTAACTGGACAGTGACACTGTTCTGTTCTGTTGTTTTTTCGTATTTGTTACATATAATGTTGTTTTGGAAAAAAGTTTGTGGGTCATTTATACAGTCATATGTAAAAGTTTGAAACACTGCCTGGTCAGATTACATGTTTTATTGAAGAAAACAGATGTTTACACGTCCTCAACAGGGAACCAACTTAAATATGGCAGTGTAGCGCACAATTTCTGTTTTTTGTTGAATTTACCATATTGGGAAAATAAATAAAGCATAAAACATTAAATGTGATATAGTTTTTGCATCTTAAATTTAGCAAATGCACAGTAAATGTGCATCAACATGTGCATTTGCTTTCACTTGGAAATTCAACAAAATGTCAGGTGACCAGGGGTGCCCAAACTTTTGCACACAGCTTTACCATTGAAACTATTTACAAGTGCTTAAGCAAAAGCCTTTAGATCAAAATATCTTTGAAAACATACATTTAATTTATGTGTCCCAACTCTTGACTGGTACTGTGAGCCTATACTGTTAAAACACATAGGTGTATATATGAACTTGTCCTACATAGACCACAGTTCACCCATGTCGAACCACAACAAAGCTCTGAGAGTGTCCTGTTACACTTCACATTTTTTAGTGACAACACGCACAAAAAAAACCATCTCAGAATGTAAGAAAATGTCACATATGCCAGTTTTGTTTGAGTCCAACACAGCCAAACGGATGGGGCCTGACCGCTGCACTTGAAGGGATTAGGTTTCGCGCTGACCCACTCAATCCAGACTGCCAGCAAAGCATCCACGAATGAAATGTCTCAGAATGCTTTGGGCCTTTTGGGGCTGTATTGGAAATCTTTAGCGGAAAGTCAGTAGGTCAGTATGTTAGTTCTCTGCTTGTTTTTTTTTTCTTCTCCACTAGCGCTGACTATGCTTTTCAGGCCCTAATGCAGTGTCTTCTAATGTCGGTCAGTCCTGGAATACGCTTAAAAGAGCCATCCCAAGCGTAGTTGATCAGCCAAGATGTGGTGTCTGAGGTTTGCTCCTTTAATTTAGCACTGAAGCTACAAGGCTAATGATGCTAGCATGTAATAAAAGCTAGGGTAGCACCAATTAGCATTCTGCAAACTGCAGCCATGCAGCTAATTTATTAAGTAACCACTGATAAACTTGCTTATGTGGTTTCTGACAGTTTCACTTACTGTTATGTACAAAAATGGGCAAAAGCATGCTAGCGTCGCTAAAAACAGTAGTAGCAGCTGTCTTACAGTCTAAATTTGTCCACTTTTGTAGATAACAGTGAAAACCTCATAGGTAAGTCTATTTGAGATTACAGTTCAACTTAGCTTGAGGCAAGTGTGTGAACATTGTATTTTAAGTATACTTAAATATAAGTATTTAAACACTTTTCATTAGTTATTTCAATGTTCATGTTCATGTTTTATGAAGTAAATGACATTCCATTGATTTAAAAAGGCCTTAAACTGGAGTGATGTTTTTTTTTTCATAAAGTTATGAAGGCTACTTATATATGGAGTTCGTGGTCCCCATTTAGTACAAAAGGGTAGCACCAATTAGCATTCTGCAAACTGCAGTCTCACTTCTTCAGAAACCTCTAATAAACTTGCTTATGTGGTTTCTGACCGTTTTACTTACTGTTATCTACAAAATAACATTAAGTGAAACTGTCAGAAACCACAGTTAATTACCGTTATCTGTTATCTACAAAAATGGGCAAAAGTGTAAAAACAGTAGTAGTAATTTGTCCACTTTTGTAGATAACAGTGTTAGAAACCTCATAGGTAAGTCTATTTGAGATTACAGCTCAACATGGCTTGAGGCAAGTGTGTGAAGATGCAGTGGGTTCCCAGGGTGCTATGTTCCCAGGGTTCTTTGTTTAGCTCTTTATATTGTGCTGTCTGAAGAAAACCTTGTATCTCTAAAATGGTAGCTTTACAGGAGAAGGAAAAAACCTACTTTATTTTTAATGTAAGTCAATGGAACCAGACGTTTTTCCAAGATGTTTTGGGTCATTTCTTTTAGTCCATTCGTCATGAGATTTACATACAAGGGTAACAAGCATTTTCAGATCATGTCAAAAACTGAAAAACAGCAAAAATGGAGATACGAGGTTTTATTCCAACAACAGCGATATGATACATCATAGATCAATATGGTACATTGAGCAAACCTATGAAAGGGTTCCCAAGCTTATGGTTAATGTTATAATCTTTTCAAAAGTCAACGAGGAGCAGATTTTTCAACGTGAAGGCACTTACCTCAGCTAGGCTAGCCCTAGTGTGCTAATTAGCTAGCTAACCTTTATTTGAACCATTTCTTTGAGAGTTTAGAGTTTACAACAGTTAAACTTTTGAATAAGCACTGTGTCCGGCTGAAGGGTGGTGCACCGGCCTTTTTTGGTTGTTGCTTGTTGAGTAGCCGTTAGCTTAACTAGCAAGCTACCACCTTGAGATGCTATCAGGGATTCCCTGAAGAGGGGACGTTGATAAGGTCAAGGTAAAAGTTGGGGGGTAGATGTTATCTGTGAGGATATGCTCAAAGACCCCGTTTTTAGCATGAATGCCAGCTTTGGTAATGTTTTGCAATGTTGTTAATATTTGTGGAGTCGAAATAAAATTATGACGATACACTTTTAATGCTGCCTCTCGCTGAATAGATCCTCACTCTCTTGTTCACTTCAGTCAGTTTAGGCATGAACAGAAAGCCAGATTTTATTTACTGAACATGCAACATCAGAATGTATATGTTTGTAAACACAGCAGAGATATAGATGTTAGTCATTTTCAGGTTCAGAAATGGGAAAATGGAGCAATTTCCAGTGGAAATTAGGGCCCTGAGAATCTAGGACACTAGAAATCTAGGGTTGTTTACAAAATTACTTAGAGGGAACACTTTTAGGCTTGGGGAACTTAGGGATGACCACGCAAGCTTCCATTACTTGTTAGCTACATTAGCCTCGGAGCTCCAATGCAAAACTAAAGATACCTTGATTGATCAACTACATCTCAAGTAAGAGGGAACTGTGTACATTTAGTCTTTTATCCTTTTTTAAAATTAGTTTAATCAACACATCACAGAAACGAGGGCTGAGCATTTCATCTTCATTCCTTACTCATTTCTTATTTATTTTCTGTATCATCACTGCCTAAAAAAAAGCATGTATCTCCAAAATACTAACTTTACCAGAGGAGGCAAAAACATTCTTAGCTTTTCATGTAAGTTAATGTAAAGAGGTTTTAAGATTAGTTTCTATTGGTCCATTCATCATGAATTTTTTACAGAATGTAAAGGACAGCTGCGATGTTCAAATGATGTAGCAAAAAAAAAATCAAGAAAATTGGAGACACTTTTTTCACAGCATTTCTCACTTTTAACTGCTCGGATATGTCCTCATCCTCCAAAAGTAGCTTTTTTTCATTCTCGTCTTTTTGGTGCCAGCTTGTTTTTTTTTCTGCTGTTCATCTTTGCATGATTCACATGTGAAAACTGCTACATCCATAATGCAAAAAAGTAATGAACCTTTAGAGCCACTTGGTGTGTTAGCCAGTACTAGCGTACTGAATTTAATATGCTAATTTCTCGGGGATA